TTGTAATGGTCATCAACTGCTTGTTGAATGAAAAGGGGATGACTGAGAAAGGCTTCAGTATAGAAACCGAAATGTCGTTCCCCTTTCCATTCAGTAGGCAGTTGTAGTCCATTAAAGTGTTCAAACCTACTATGTCTACTCTGTTTAAAGTTCCACTGAATGCCATGGCCTAGGAAGTAGATGTTTTTATAGTACGGCCACACTAGAAGATGGTTCTATTTGAATCATTCACCAAATCTAGGTGAATAATTCTAATACCTGAAAGTCATGGCTTTTCAAATAGATAGCTTTTTCGTATGGAAACAGTAAAAGGTGATTGTATCTGAATTATTCCCCAAGGTTTGGTGAACACCGTTTCGAATAATCATGATTTAGGAATTAAACACCTTTGTTGTACCGTGACAGTAAAAGGTGGTTATATTTTAATTATTTCCTCAGGTTCAGTGAACACTTGTCAATAGATAGTTGTCATGGCATCTAACACACACACACAGTTTTATATCCTGTATAGTAATTGTCTTTGAATTTTCTCTATTGTCTCATTAAATGATGGTTCTAATGCATGATGTCAATGGTGTAGGAAACATATACAGTTGTTGTAAGGAAAACTTGTTTGAACAATTTCTTCAATGCGAACAATGCTAGTAGCGATACTTCGTCGTCTTCGTCTAGGAAATAGACAACTTCACTTTCTGATAATTTTGTTTTAATGATTTTCATATTTTCAATTATTACTTGACTACTGCGTCTGAAATGGGTAGCAACGCTTCCTGTGTCAGTGGGTGGGTAGGTGTAGTTCAGTAGCTACTAGTTTCACTGGATGACACCCGTGGTGTCGGAGCTAGACAGCTTCTTGATATGGTAATTAATTATTTTTCTCTGTTTTATTTTCTTAACGTTCTTACTATAACGAAGCCAGTACATCACAAACTGAGTAATTCACTCGTGATGTCTTCACAAAATATACTCTGATGTAATAACAAATAACTTTGTTGTTCTAGACTTAGTGAATTTTGGGTGACTTTGATATCAAACTACTGAAGGTTCAATTTAATCTATATGCATTCCAGATTATTTTCCTTACTGCGCCATACTAGAATACATTAAGCTCTAAATTTTTTCAAACTAATAATACCTCTCATACTTAAAGAAAAAAAACTTATAAGCTCGATGAAAATATGGGAGCTTTTCAACGAGTAGAGATTTAAGCTTTAATCTACTTAGCTGTTTAGTGGTTGTTTTATATTACCATTCATATGTTTGGAAATTATTAGATCTCTCCTAATAAGAAGAGAAGGTTTGAAACAACGTTCGTGTAACTTGTATTATCTCAATTTATAATTTTTTTTATTAATGGTTACCTTGTATATTATATCTTAAATAGAAAAAACGCGTTTGTAAGTTAATAAAGAATAACTTAAGTAACATCAAAACTGTGTTATTATAGATTAGAATATATATTTACCTATTTTTGTAGACATTACCTGAAAATAATTTTATAAAAAATAAACAACAAACGTTTCTTTTGAGCCGTGATAAACAAAAACGTTTCTTTTGTCCCAAACACTCAGGCTGATAAACCTTTATCATTGGTTACAGTTTCAAGAGAACAATTTACAACTGACTTGAATTGAACGAACGGCATTTACGGTGTTGTAGAAAAGGGCTATTGAAAGCATTGTTAGGTAAAGAATTATTGTTGGATAAGAAACAAAAGGTGTACCTTTTATAAATGATACATTCTATAAAAGTCTTATACTGAAAAAATGCAAGTATTATTTTAGCGAAAATATGCGAATATTAATTAAACGTACATATACATATATAACATGCAAATTTCTTTCTGTAAATTACTGAAAGATGTATTGATCTTTCTCTCTACATATACATATAGATAAACACATACATACGCATAACACATACATTCACATAAAAATACAGAAGAGTAGCACTGTGAGTTTTTATTATGAACAACATTGGCTAATAAAAGATGTGTAAGGATTTGGTAACATTGCCTAATAAAAGATGTGTAAGGATTTGACAACATTGGCTAATAAAAGATGTGTAAGGATTTGGTAACATTGCCTAATAAAAGATGTGTAAGGATTTGGTAACATTGCCTAATAAAAGATGTGTAAGGATTTGACAACATTGGCTAATAAAAGATGTGTAAGGATTTGGTAACATTGCCTAATAAAAGATGTGTAAGGATTTGACAACATTGGCTAATAAAAGATGTGTAAGGATTTGGTAACATTGCCTAATAAAAGATGTGTAAGGATTTGGTAACATTGCCTAATAAAAGATGTATTAGGATTTGGCAACATTGGCTGATAAAAGATGTGTAAGGATTTGGTAACATTGCCCAATAAAAGATGTGTAAGGATTTGGTAACATTGGCTAATAAAAGATGTGTAAGGATTTGACAACATTGGCTGATAAAAGATGTGTAAGTATTTGGCTTTCAAAACATAATTATCACCAAATCTACGTTATACTGAATGGCGTTAATTGCTTCACTCACATTTTAATCACAAATCTCTATATATAATAGGTTAATGTCTGTCTGTCCGCAAAACTCCTCCCACAGTTTAAGTCCGATTTGGATCAAATTTCGCACAATTTTTTAACATATTAAGGAAAGTTCCTAACAAAGTTAAATTATAATTGGGTCTCTTATAAAAAAGTTTATTTAATGCATCTGTCCACTTTTTTTAAAGAAATAAGTCAATAAATATGCTTTATATCACACCAAAATGAAAAATGTTATAAAATAGACCCTCGCTAAAACTAATACAAATAATAGAACCTTATTTTATAACTTGTTTTCCTAAATTGCTTCCTTTATGGAGAAATGGTATTTCTTTCCTATTTAATAATATACATTTATTATTATCAACGAAATTAATTTTTTAAACAAATCTTTTAAAATTGGAGTAAAGTGAGTTTAATGCAGAATTATAAAGTGGATTTTCTTAGTGGAGAATCCATATGATATTTCAGAAGAAAAGTGACTTTTTCTGCTGAAAATTCAAGTGTGTGCTATGAATTGAGTTGTTCTGTACCTAAGGAATCACAAGTCCTTCGTACAGAATTTGTTACATACAAATTTGCAGGAATTTTGTAGTAACTAGATCTTTATAAGGCACATAAGTATTTTTTTTTACTTCAGTATGAGTATAAAGTGATCACAAACATTGAAATTCACGATGACAAAAATTGTCAAACGGAAAAGTGACTTATCAGGAGAAGCTCTGAAACTTTGAGAAAGAAAATGAAATGTCAGTATGCAAGTTACATAATTAACGAGATAGGCTTGTTCACCAAGTTATGAGGCACGATTCAATGAGAAGAAGCCAGAAACCAACTCGAAATACTGAAGCACATCAGACTGCTTGCCAAAACACAGTTAGAAGAAGTCAGGAGGAATTTCATGACAGAGAAGCTCACCGTTCAATTCGCCAAGATCCTGACTGAACAGCCGACCATAGAGCGGCGTTTCTGCTAGTAAACTATAGTAATCAAATTAATTACGTTATTTGTAACAGTTTGAACATTTTTTGTGAGAGGGTGCTTTTGTATTAATTTAATACAATATGTGTTTTTAAATTAGTTAAACAAATTAATAAAAATAGGTTGAGTAATCTTTGTCTCACACTTGTCCAGTAATAAACAATGCCTGGATTATGTGTTCCGGAACAACAATGTATCTTGTGCGTGTTCAATAAGAACAATGTATGATGTAAGTATTCATTAACAACAACGTACCGTATACACTTCTAGTAATAATAAAGTGTAATTGTCTTACCGGATGTCTTCTGTCTCTAAAACTATACGTCTTTGTCGATTCATACGTTATGTAATGTGATTTGTTTAAAATTTTCTATTGAGGAATAGTAAATACACTTTAGGAATTCTTAACCTACGAGCTTTGTTTTAATCCTTTTAACCTATTTAGCACTTAATCGACGTTAAAAGTATTAAGATTTTTTTCTTCCCTTCAATATTTTCATTACTTTCAATACTGGATGAAAAGAGATCTTGGGTATAATCGTCAGGAATTTCAAAAACATTCTCATTCGTGCTCAGCCGTAATTCAATGTTTAATCACACTGAACTATCTAGCTAATTTCATTATCACAGCGAATTATTCTGTACGTGAACAATGTTAATTGATTAGGCTTAATTGAGATTGTGGATATTATCAACTTCAATCCTGATATCTAAATAACTTTGTACAGTATTACTTAAGAATGACAAGCACATGGAATAAGTTAACACAGAGAACTATATTCATCCCCCGCTGGGACAGCGGTAAGTCTCTGGATTTACAATGCTAAAATCAGTGGTTCGAGTACCCTCGATGGACACATCAGATAACATTTTTATTAGCACTCTAACTATAGTATTTTGATTTTTGCAAGTTTCATAACTTAAAAATCTATTTAAGAACGTCATTTGCGGTCTATTGATTTTTCTTATCATTTAATAAATAGTTCTTGCAGAAACAATGAGTTCTATTTCTCCTTTAAATAAAATATATTACCACATCTTTCCAGCTGTGTACTGATAAGGAATTTAATTTATGACACGTGGAAGTTTGTGATTTTGTTTTTCCGGCTTTATTGTTGTTGAACAAAAACGTCGCTTCTTAAAGTAAGTAATCGTTGCCTCAGTTAATCTCGCTTATACCTTAGAGAGGTTTATATATTCTGTGTTGTGTTCTGAGAAAACACACACAGTAGGCGAGTTTTTCAATCCGATTAAGTTATGACTTGTAAGGAAAGAGGAATTTAGTGCGAAATGTTCCAATGAATCCTTCCAAGTTTTCTTTTCTTATTTATTTTTGGCTTTGGAGAAAAGCATAAACTTACATGGAAGATCTGTGTTAATAATGAATCGAGACTCGTGATTTTATAGGCATGGCTCTATAATTTGTTTTAAAAGTTATTGAAAGAAAAATTAGTTTCAGTTTTGAAAAGCTTGTTTATTTTCCACAGTTGTTCGCTTTAAGAAAATTGAAACAGGGTGACGAAGGAAAACCGAAAGCACCCTTGGCTGATAATTATCGTCCGGCTCAGCCACTCAATCATCGAGTGTTGAGAACAAATATTGATTTCAGAAGAAAACAAGTAAGTGAAGTCAACATTTTATAAATTTATCCTTCCATCGTATGGTCTTGTCGTTCATCTTATACGGGTATGTTTCGCTTCAATAATATACTGTCAAGCTCAATTTTATGATTGTCTCATTGGGAACTCAATTTAATAGATTGTATACTCTAACCCTTTCACAGTTGGGTCACGTCATTGGAGTGTCTCAGTGAAAACAAAGAGCTACCAACAATACCTGATTCCACCTTGGTTTTGATATTCGTTAATGTTAAAATACGTGAAGTTTTCTAAATCATCAGCACAATATAAAGTTTTTGTACCGTAGTTTTTACTTCAATTTGTTTGCTTTGTTTCACATGATAGTTAAAACATCTATTTGTCTGCCCATCTATTTCTAATTCAGCCTAATATTGATGTCTTAAGCTAAATTATATAGCTATTTGTAGAAACGGTAAAACGATTTTGTACTATGCGGTTAATAGTTAGCTAGTGTGTAACGTTGAAAAAAAAACATTCTTATACAATCATTGAATAGAAACATCATATACATTAGAACAAATATTACATTAAAATAAACTATGCAGCTAGAAAACCCTATTCGTGTTTAAGTACTATTGGTTAAATTTACAAGGCATGTACTCAATAAGTTAACAGATGTACTGACATACAACTTACTGTACGGAAATCTTAAGCATTGTTGTTTATCCCCCTCAACGAAGATGTCGCTACCACATGGTATATAGTGACAGCAATAATGTTTAAAGCTGCCTTACAGAGTTAACATTAATTATATTAAATACCTTTGTACACGCCATTTTTTATTTTAACTTAAAATATCTCTGTTTGTTTTTTCTCCTGGCTAAACATTCCTCAAAACTGTTAAAATCTTAAGCACAATTAAGAATTATTTCGAGTAACAATAATCTTTACTTTAATAGCACTTACGTTCTCGGTGTATGAACAATGACCAATACTTAACCGAATTGTGTTTACAATATAGTTAAATCGATACTCGATTAATTACTTAGTTTGTATGAACAATATGAAATGTACTATTTATACGTCCTGACTGTTTTTTGGGGAGGGATATATTTTTTAAAGTAGTTAGTTATGTGTCTAAATATCTGCGAGACGTCGCCGACCATGCCCATTTTTCCAGCCAATAAAACGTTATTATGTGACGGTCAGTTCTACTTTTTGTTAGTAAAGAGTAGCCCAAGAGTTGACAGTGGCACTAAGCTGCAAACAAACAACTTTTGAGTATTTATAGCTTATTGCGATATTATTTCCTGGTACACTAAGCATTTCCATTTTGTACTTCAAAAACTTTGCGCCACCTAGTATTACTTTAATAACCTAAACAACAAATAATGGCTGGAGAATGGGTAATGGGTAATGAAGAAAAACTTTAATAAAAGTTTAACATAACAGCAAATGTACAACGTTTACGTACAAGGTTTTGTCATCATCAGGTACAAGTAGTTGTCGAAACGTTGTACATTTGCTGTTATGTTAAAGTTATATTAAAGTTTTTCTTCATTACCCATTCAAGCC